GGAAATATGACCGCTCCCTTCCTAATTTCGTCCACTGCTACGACCCCACCCCTTGAAATTCTCCCAACGAAGTGAATAGCGCCCGTGAAACAAGAAAAATCACTGTTGGAAATTTCTCAGACCAAATACTACCCCCTCTGCACAGCGACCAAATACGACCACCCCTCCTCGGTGGAGATTCCCCAACTACGACGGTCTGGTGTCCATAATGCCTACGCTATCCTCAAGGCAGCACTCACATATATCAAGGTCTCGCAGCAAAGCAGGCACTGTTGGCAAACAAACAGGCAGAGAACAACCAGGGCGCAGACAAGTAGCGGTTTGGCTATGATTAGGCGTAGGGCTGGCCTACGGCAGCGAGGGTGTAGTATAGAGACGGCACGCGATATTCGTACCTTCCAGCTCCGTTTCCTTGCACTATTGAGCGGAGGAATGGTACGCTGCTGTAGCTGCGGATTCATTCACCCCCACACAAGGCAAGGACCAGGATCCACGAAAGTAAGCTTACCGTTAATCCTAAAGACCTCTCAGTCTTCGATTTTCGACACTGGGTCCGCCGCACATTCCCTCATCCTTCAATTCGTACTGTTCCGCAATTGCTGATAGGCATCTCACATGCTTCTTGTATCTTTTTTTCGATACCGCCGCACTCGGCTTCCAGTGAAAAAGTGCTTCAGACCGTACAGGAGTCAGATACGGCGTGACTCATTGCCTGCTGCTGGTGCCGCTACTACATAGCAGAAACGCACTATTATAACAAACGAGCAACTAGTTGAGTCCCACGGGTAAGCGCTTTCTTCCGTGTTACAACAGACAGCCGGCGAGTACCATGTACTGCTCCGGATACTACCCGGAACTCCAAGTAGTGAGTAATACAAGTATGAAACCACCCCGCCACAAGTTCGACGAGATCTGTGAAATACAGTGAAAAAGAAAGTTTCCCTCAACCTTCTACGCGATTAGGAGGGAAGCACTGCCATCACCTTGACGAACTATATGAGCTGGTTGATCAAGTCCAAACCTTTATGATCGGACACGATTCGGATTCCTGTTCCTCAGTAGGGTGTCGAGCGTGTTGCCTTTGCGTTCTTCCTCCCATACAAGGTTTTCCCATTCTTTTTATCTTCAGAACAATGCACATGATGAACTACCTTGACGGTTCCGTACTTTCTCACAGCATCGTCGTCATACTTGATAGGCTCGAGATCAGATAGAATCGATTCGGGGATCGTAAGCTGAGATAGTGTAGCGATACGACGAATTGAGTCGTAGCCCTAGGTAAATATCGTGAAGTCAAGCTTAAAAAACCAGAAAACCATGAAGGAAAACTCGGTGAAAAATTGATCCTCACCATTATAGGCATGATTCCAGGAATGATTGGAACTGTGATTCCTATTTCACGACAATCTCGTACGAATTCTTCGAATACCTACATTAACTTAAATGGAAGCTGTCACTGTTAGGAACAAAAGGCATGATTCTCCTTACCTCAGCTTCGAAAAAGAGCTGGGTGATGATGAACTGAGCGCCTGCGTCACATTTTGACTTCAAGTACAGCAAGTCCGCCTTGTACGATGGGGCTTCAGGATGACCGAGTGGATAGCCTAAAAACCGAATATGAAAACAGAGTTATAAGTGGCACTAATTATCAACTTGGTTGACCATTTCGATCAGCACTCGTTATTTTTAACCGTCATTGACCTTTGAGCGCTCAGAGAGAAACGCGATCAGCAGATAAGAACATAGCGCGATTTTCTCGTAAAACATCACAAAACTCGAACAAAGTACAATGGTGAATCGTCGCTGACAATAAATTAAGACCTTATCACAAACGGTTATACTAACTGCAATAGAGAAGATGATGAGATAAATCAGCAAGTAGATGATGCGACAGTGCGGAATTTCGGAGACCTTAAAGGCACGGTCCCATTCATTTGATGTTCAGACGCCTTCTTTGAACAAGGTAATCCTGCCTGGAGGATGTACTACACTCGCATCTCAAAAAAATGCGTGAGGGAAGCGCGCTGACGCGGCGACGAGGCCACGGTCCCGCCCACCGGCGACGATAACGCCCAAATTTCATTTTTGAAGGCTTCTTAATGGTGAAGTTGTTCCGCTACTAGCTCTCCTTTCGGAATGATGAGAGTGAGGCGACGAAGTGATGGCACCGGCAAAACGGAATTCGGGCCAAACACACCCTTTCTTCGCCTTATGCATGTACACACGGGTTTCGGTATGGGGTTCTTCATGAGGCATTTCGGGCTGATCTTTCCTGCCTTTTTTCACTTTTGGTTATATACCAGCTTATCCTCAGAATTTCAGGCGCATACTCCCTTCAATGGAATGCGTACATAGACAACAAAGAGCAACACTGCATCTCTGCTCAATTGATAGACATAGCAGAGAGCGGCTGGTAGATGAACTATCTGACAAGAATGAAGCAAATGCAAAAGTTAAAAGAAACTCAGGGCGGGAAGATGATGAGAACGAAGAACTGAAAAGAAATGGACTGCAATGAATTAAAGAAAGTGAAAGGGATGTGCTGAAAAAGGAAGTGTAGGAGATAAAGCTGAAAAGTGCACACGTGGACGAAGTCAACAAACGCGAGATAGCGAATTGAAAGAGGAACCATTGGACAGATGGGCGGAATGCTCGGCTTGGGAGAGGGCATCTGTGACCTTTCGCTACGTTCTTTGCTACATTCTTTTCGTTTAAGATTTCACATTTTTTGAGGGTGAACCCTGCAGACTCTACAAGTGCAAAGAAGTTTCCGCACTGCAGCTTTTACACAAAATTACTTAGGCTCCACAGGTAGGCAATTGCCAGTGAGTCGCGTGGGACTATGGAAAATACCCCTTACCAGGCAGGCTTCAAGTTCTTGCCGCAAGTGACTTACAGAGAACCGCGAGATCCATTACTCTGCTATTTTGAAGGTTTGCAATCAAAAGAAACTTGCCAAGTGACTTTTCTTCATGCCTCAAAAAATCAAAGGTATTAGCAATAAGGCTGAAATTCACAGCCAGAATAAAGAGAAGAAAATTAAGCGCAGATACAAAAAATATATGCATGGTTCATTACCTGAAACAGCCAGAGCAGTGAAATAGATCGCCGAATTCCTCCCGGATTCCAACGGAATCAATTATCCAAGAGCTCGCTACTATGTAAGGACCTGGTGACACCGATCAAGATCTCCGTCTAAGAAATTCTTGTAACGACCACGGCAGCACTGGGCGTAGCACTAAAGGCAAATATGAAAACAGAAACCCGGGAAGAAGCAGTGGTTAAGATAATTCTCATATGAGTAAGACAGGATTCATGGCGAAAAGACTGACAAAGCTGAGGTGGGTTTTAAAAGAAAGCAAACTAGTGCAGATCTTACATGATTACTTCTCAGAAAATCTCGTTGATTCTTATTCATTTATTGTTTATGCGCCCAGTCCGCGCGCTAACAAAATCAAAGACCAGCTGAAAGAACACTAAGAATAAGGCTGTACGACGAGGCACATTTCAGCTATTTACCCTCACCAGCTATAAGGCACATAGGTAACAAAAAGAAAAATCTTTGCAACTAATCTAACAAAGAAAGGCATACAAAAACCATGAGTATGCTCCTAGCTCAACCTCATTCGGCAATGGTGCCCTTACGCCACAGATTTGGATCGTAATCTTTTGCCGAAACTCCGGTGCTCTCATGTACTTTGGCAATGGCTAGGAAACGAGACCACTTGGTTTGGGATACCTGATAGTGAGTTCATACCTCGCGATTTCATCGCGCCAACGATTGGGTCGCTCCGAGCTCCTCTGGCAGCATGGTTGATCGATGGAGCGCCCACGATCTTGGTCGCGCGATGGGAGCAACTCACTCGCGAAGTATGAACACACTCTGCGTGACGACCAAGTTATTGTATGTGATGGGTAAAAGATTCAACTAGCCGTTATTAGGCATAGAAAAAACGCGAAATCACAGCCAAGCAAGATTAAATTCTTAATATTTGTCATACCATTATGGGAAGATCTCCTCGTAGAGCGAGAATGTTGCGGAGCCCGACGGATTTGCTTTGTTCAAGATGCTTTATGGTTTGTTCCTTGGAGTATTGTGCACATGTCATATGAAGCATTGTGTCTACTCGACAGTAATCAAGACATCCAGCAGCAATGGACGACGAAGATGTCTCCTTGTTCATGTTAGCTGAAAAACACCGGTCGTAACTCAGCATCAGCCAGGCAAAATATCAGCTTTTTCAAGGATTTCGGACAGTTTTTGGCAGGTATATCACAAAAACCACTGATAGATCAACAGTATGTAAGCTAGCCAAACGATGTAGAGATAGCATACCTGGATCACTGCCCAAATGCCAGGTGATGTCAACGAATAAAGGACCACCTTCATTGAAACGGTCCAACCTGAGATTCGCTCAATAGTTAATGCCTCGTCTTCAAAAAAGTCATGGAACCCACCTAGTGAAAAAATTTGCCACTCCATTAGCCGTTTTGGGTGGGAAAAACTCCAGTGAGAAAAACGGTGTCTTATCTTGAACTCGTCGATTGATCCGCTCATGAAGAGGGACGTATCTTCGCTGTCCCACCTACAGAGAATGTTTTTGAAATTCTTTAGCTTTCTATTCATCCTCTCAAGTATTATAAGGCTAGCCACCTACTGAACTATTAGACTGCGTTCATATTTGCGTCAGCGTTTTGAGCGACTAGGAAAGCAAAGGCATCGATTTAGCGTATGCCAGCATTTTGAGCGTACGCCAGCGTACGGCAGCGTTTTGAACGAGTAGGAAAGTATGGGTATCGATCTATCGTTTCGAGCGTTTTCGCGCATAGTTTCAAGTTTTTCAGGACAAGCGTTGAAACGTTGCACTTTCTGCACTTTTGAAGTCGCTTCAAAACGCTTCGTACGCTGGTTTA